TGTAGAACCTAGTGCAAGATTTGTTTTTCTATTTAACTTTAAATTCATTCGTGAGATTGTCATCCCAAAGACGGGGCTAATACTTTGACTACAAAAAAGAGATCTCAATTTCTCGTTTTAAATCTAGGGCATCTCCCTTGGTTGAAAGTACTTTGTCAGTAAAAATAATATATTGTAGTCCACTTAATGTGGCTTCCGAACAAACAGTATTGTAATCCAAATGATGTGTTGACTGAGAAAAAGGGTAAGCGCAAGCATGTTTCAATCAAAATGAAATCCATTGGTTTTATGCAGACTAACTTTGAATTAAATTTCATATTATTTCCTATTGAATTTGATATCCACAAATTAGCTCCTTCGTATAAAACAGAAGTTATTTGAATGCTCCCATGATAAGTATTAATTTGTTCTTCTTACAAACTCTCTCGAGCATTTATTGTTGTTCACAAGTTATAATTGAAAGTTATGAGATTCTCCATATTAGGTTTTGCTTGCATGTATTAGCAAATATGTTCTTGATGGCACTTTTATTCCTGCTGATGGAATCTTTTGGACTTAATTCTGTTTTATCTCAGGAAGAAGCATGTGACAGGCAATGCAGCCACTCCTTTTTGCTTGCCAGAGTGAATGAGCTAACTGAGGGAGAATCTTTGGTGCTAGTATCCTTCATTTGTTTTGGCTTATATTCTGTTTTGTCCATAAATACCTGTTTGCCGCTCAATATGTGGATCATGGGTCGGCGGGGGGGGGGGGGGGTGTTGTTATACGTTGATTGGTGGTTATTAATTCCAAAATTTTGCTTAATCAAGTTCAGATATTGCACTTGTGAAGAACAATGCATTAGTTGGTGCAAAAATTGCAGTTGCTCTTTCTCAGATGAGGAGGATTACAGATAACGGTGAGTTTCTTGTGCCCATGTATATATTTAAGGATTCCAGCCTATTTTGCATTTAATCTTGAATGGGAACTTGTGAACCACTAAGCTTTTGTATTTTTTCTTGGCATAGTTGCTCTGCCATCAACATTGTTATTGGTCCTATGTTTTCTTAACTAGTTAGTATCTTTTTTGTTGGTCATCTAATTAAAATTGATCTTACTTAGAATCAGGTTAAGATGGTTGGCTCAAGTGTCTGTGTTTGTTGATTACTGTAGAATTGTCATATCCTACGATATAACTGATCTTACTTCTAGGATAGAAGTTTTCTTTCAAAGCACCCAAGGTAATATGTGATCAGCTTATTGCTCAATTCGTTTTTATGTCAGAGCTTTTGATTTGTTTATTTGAATCTCTGTTCGTTGCTTGCTGCATCTATCATATACTGCTGCTTATTCTTCTTCTGATTCATGTTTTATCCATGAGTTTTGGAGCCTTTAAGCTTCACATTATTGCATCGTAGGATAAACCAGATTAGACTATTTGTTCATTGCACTGATGCCATACTTTATATAGTTAATTTCTTGCTACATCAAAGGTGAAGCCATTAATTTGGATCATGGAGCAGATATATGAAATAGGCTGCAAGATACAATACAATATGAACATAACAGTTTGCAAGCACAGCGAAAAAAATTGCTTATGGACTAATTTTCACAGAGAAAAAAATTGCTTATGGACTAATTTTCGAGGGGGCTAAAATTGTTGATTAAGGAGAAAAGTTCTCTTGTGCAGTATTAATCTCCTGGAACTAGCTGTATGTTGGTTTATATGGTTATTTTTACACTATCCATTCAAACAAAAGCTGAAGTAATGTTAACTTTGTGGTTTGCTCTCTGCCAGTCTGCCAAGGGTTACATGTTTGCCCTTCAGTTCTTTTGCATTTGATCCAATTAAGTGTGTTTTTCTGTAGATAGCCAACCTCTTTATCTTGCAACTTATTCATAATCCTTGTATCAAACAGCACTGGATGTATAAAGCAAGGAGACTGGAACGTTATTTTGAGGAAACATCCTAAAATTTAGACCAAGGTTGCTATAGAGATCGTAGGAGAATATCCATTCAAATCACATATTGTCGCGTCCAATGGTTGCCGGGCAGAATTTGCTGCCGAGCAATCATAAGACAGACTTCACTGCAGGTTAATACTGCAGTCGCTCAGATGTGTGATACTTGTATGAACCGATATCTCTGGATGTTTTCTGGTTTCCTGCTGTGCTTCAATACAAATTTTTAGTTGCAATAGCACGCATTCATTACCAAATGTCTACTGTATTTAATTTCACCATCAAATGATTCAACTCAAACAACACCCCATGAATCATTATATAGCATTTTCGTCCTGTTGCTGTTTGTTCTGGGAAACATAAACTCCTAAATCCGTGGACATGAAACATAGAATAACTTGTTTGTTTATTCGATGGTATTGTCACCTTTTGCTCCATGAATTAGCTGTCTAACATTTGGTTTTTGGTCAGGACATTTGAGATCGGCATTGTAAATAAGATCACAAGAGTGGCAAGTGTTGTTTACACTCATTTGGAAAGAAGGTTTGCTTCTAAAAACTACTGAAATTTGTACTGCAATGACATTTTGCTACCATTTTGGTGCTGCGAGGGGATCCATTTGTGTTTTCTTTTTAATTAGCACGTGGAGAAATTTTCAGATATGACAATTTGCAGCTATGGTGAGAATAAAAGTCCGTCAAAATACTTTCAGTAGAATTGTTCTTCTAAAAGACCAAAATATTAGAAAATACATTAGTTATATGGATTCAATGATGTTTGTTTGTCATTTAAACTCATCTTGAATCAAAATTTGATACTTTTTGTTTCCTCTTAGTTGCGCTTGTCCAGAAATTTAGTATTAAGTTTACAGTGAAATGTGGCTTATCTGAGGTGCAATCACTACCTCTGAATCTCTAATGCATTTCGTTTACATTTTACCTTCTCTCTTATTTCAAATTTCTTCTAGTTTACATTATTTCGAACCATTCACTGTAATCCTGTTATAATAATGAATGTTTGTTGAATCGGTTATCTTTTTACGTACAGTTTGATATGGAGGCTGAGATTTGATTATCCTTTTTATAACCCCCTACAGAGATGTAGTGAAAGTCAATCAAATGTTGCATGAGATTCGGTTAAGAGAAAAGACTTCTGCCAATATGTCATAGTTTGTTGTTCTTTTTCTACTTCGCATCTTTGGCCATAATCAAAATTTCTTCGTCGCATGCAGGGAAATTTGAGGATGCTTGTCGATATCTTGCTTGCACTCCATCCCTAAACAAGAAATGGTAATAGCCTAGGAGACGAAGATGCGATGATATTGGAGGCTATCTAAATCCTTTAGCTTTTGCATTGATTTGATGACAAATCTATTATCTATATAGAAAATGTTTATCTTTAATTATCCAGGTGTGTGGCAGATTATGTGTCAAATCACAAAATTCTTATATCATGCAAGTTTCTCACCGTGTACTTGTCAAATTAGCAGAGCGAGTTAGCACCATAACCCCTAGCATTAGTATTAAAGCCCTAAACTCTTCAGAACCTTGAGTGCAAGTGCAGCTCCTGTATTGTTTTTTCGGTTTTGTGGGTGATGAAACTTTATAAAGTATAATTTTTTATATCAGATTATTTAACTTGCAATGTCCATTTGTAAAAGCTTCTGTAGACTCAAGCGGGCTGAGGACTTCGTCAGTGAAATTTTTATATTCCCTGAACTTGTTGGAGATGTTTGCTGATGTGTGAACTTATTGGAGATGTTCAGCTGTGTATATCAATCTAAATCTAATAAATATAAAGGCTAGAAGCAAATCTAAGGAATAAAAAGATGGGTGTACAGGGTGCGCGCTTAAGTTTGCCTACGGAAATTCAGCCCCATCAATGCCTGCGCCTCTAAGCCTTAGAAACGATCACACCTTTCGAATTCGTTATAATACGGAGAGAAAATTTTACCCTTATAATTTATTAGTTGATAAAATGTCCTAATAACATATAAGGACATTTATGTGACTTTACACATATTCGCTTTACTTACCTCCTCTTTATTATAAACTCCCAAACAATGTGAATTATGTTACTTTTTGTTACGCTTACTAGACTACAAAACAACATTTTATCTTTTATCTTTCCTTCCCTACTCCTTCCCATTATTTAACTTTCATTCCCTTCCCCTAGTATACTCCGAGACAAAGCATTAAGGAATTTTGATATTAGTACTTTTTGCATCTTTAATACTTCCAAATCGGACTCTCAAATTTGTTGGAGCTGTTATTTGGTCTTCTGATTCTTCTCTCTTAATATTACTACTCTCCATTGTAGAGATTAATTAAAAACAATATTAGGGGACTCAACGGCAGTTTCAATAAATCGATTGAGATGGTTCATAAGAACAGAGGGAGCCTCACCGCAATGTTATATGATTTCAGGGACTAATTGCAAAATATAAAAGGTTTCAAGGGGCTGATATGGGAAAATCACATTTTCCATCCATCTCCTAAGCTTCCACTCCTTCCCGCGCGCCATCCCGAAACAAATCCTGATCCCATACTTCCCGTTGATGCCCCAACCACCGTCAACCCTCAACCCAAAATGGCTCCACTCCCTTTCCCGCCAAATCTCGACCCCCTCCCACCTCTCTCAGCTCCTCTCCGTCTCCATCGCCCTCGGCCTCTTCAACTCCTCCTGCCTCCCGTTCCTCAACTCCCTCCTCCACTCCCTCTCTCGATCCCAATCCCCAGCTCTCTCCCTCTCCCTCTCGAACTCCATCCACAAGCAATCCATAACCCCCGATAACTACACTCTCGTCTCGGCTCTCAAGGCCGCCTCCTCCCTCTCTCTCCTCTTCAAAGGCCAAGAACTTCACTCCCTCAGTCTTAAAATTGGGTTAGGATCGGATACATTTGTTCTCAATTCCCTCATCAACATGTACTCCGTTTGCGGGTCGGTTGGGTCCGCGAGACGAGTATTCGGCTCGGCTCCCGATTCGGCCCTCGACGTCGTTTCTTGGAATAGCATGATGTCTGGGTGCCTGAAGGGGAATTTGAATAGAGAGGCTCTGTGGGTTTTTGCTAAAATGGTAGAGAAATCCGTTGCTATGGATGGAATGACTCCCGTCAGCGCTCTGATTGCTTGCGGGCGGATCGGGTCTTTTAGTTTAGGCAGAAAGATTCATTCTCTGATTGTTGTTAATGGGTTTGAGCTAGATTTCTATCTGGGGTCTTCTTTGATCACTATGTATGCTAAATGTGGGGATTTGGAGGATGCGCGCAAGGTGTTTGATGTTATTCCTGACAGGAATGTGGTATGTTGGACTTCGATGATTTCTGGGTATTCTCAGCATGGTCGGTTGAGGGAATCGGTGGAATTGTTTAGGGAGATGCAGGTTTTTGGAGTAAAACCTGATGGCGCGACATTGGCTTGTGTTGTTTCTTGTTGTGGACAACTTGGGGCATTGGATCAAGGGAGATATCTCCATGCATATTGCAACGCAAAAGGGATAGGAAATGATCTAATTGTAAAGAATGCATTCATCGATATGTACTCAAAGTGTGGAGACATTTATAGAGCTGTAGAAATATTTCGGGGGTTATCGCATCCGGATATATTCTCATGGACCGCCGTGATATCTGGGCTAGCCATGAATGGGCATTCTCATGAAGCGTTAGAGTTGTTCTCAGAGATGGAGGCCTTAGGGCAAGTTGTACCAAATGAGATAACATTTTTAGGGGTTTTGTCTGCTTGCAATCATGGTGGCCTAATTAAAGAAGGATTTTACTACTTTAGGCATATGATTGAAGTTTATAAGCACCTTCCTAAGATCGAACACTATGGTTGTATTGTTGATCTTTTAGGTCGTGCAAACCTTTTGAAGGAGATGGAGATGTTTATAAGAGGAATGCCTATTGAGCCAGATGTGGTAATTTGGCGATCACTTCTATTTGCATGTAGAGCTCATGGAGAAGTTGAAATTGCAAAATTTGCAGCCGAAAAGCTTATTGAGCTTGAACCGACAAAATGTGGAGGGAATGTTTTGCTTTCTAGTGTTTATGCTGTGGCTTCGAGGTGGAGTGATGTAAATCAAGTCAGGGAAATTATGAACGAAAGGAGAATTCAGAAGGAACCTGGATGCTCTTTTATAGAGTTAGACGATAGTATACATGAATTTTTGGCTGCAGATTTATCGCATCCTCAGACTGTAGATATATACCAAGCACTTTCAGGGATTAGCAAAACTATGTTATCCGAGCCATATACTGCTCGTAATTCCGGTATGTTTTGTGCAATGTATGGAGAAAGATAGTAGTAATTTAACCGATTAAAAATGTGATAGTTTTTTTATTCCAATGGTTATCAAATTATAACCAATCAAAAATGTGATAGTTTTTTATTCCATTGGTTATTAAGAAACAGGCTACACTGGTTTTTATCAAGTTATATTAAAGGCAGATTTAACTTGTTCTTGAGGTTCACTTTTTCCATTAAGATGCTTTTTTATCTTGTTAAATTTTTGGAAGAATCAGCATCAATGATCTGCATCTCTTCTAGAGAAAACAGATCAGAGATACTTTTCTGGCAGAATCGTATTTCTATTTTGACAAGTTTTTCAAATATTTGCTGTGAGTACAAGGTATAATCTTATTATTTCCAGACAGCCTTCAAGGGAGTGAGCACAGAAGTCATAATCATTATTATATGATCTGCATAATCTGGTATCGCATAGATATTGGGGTTGACATTTTATTTTTCCATCAGCCATGTTATCATCATTCACAGTTTCTATTGCACAATTCTCCCATTAGGAACACTGCCCTCCTCAACATCTCTTTTGAAGGAAGGCATTGCATTCTCATGTAGGGTTTCTTTCTTCAGCTTAAATCAGTCACATGATGCATGGCATACAATGTGAGGACTGATTTATGCGGAAAATATATTAGGATTTAGGGCTTGCATCTCAAACATGGAACTATATAGGGTTTCCTTTGCATCTCAATTGATTCTAACAAAGTCTCTTAGGCCATAGTTGTTGTGAACGATTCAAATTGAGCGGCAGCAGCAGTCGACAGGCCAGTCCATCGTCGGAGGATTTGAGTCACTTGACCGCTACTCGGATCGTTTAGGCGTTTTCTCTGCTTTAGTCAGAAATCAATTCTGACCGAGTTTTATGATCTTTTTTAGGCACATGACGACTACCCTGTATAAAAAGGATTTTCTCTGAGATGTAGTGTTTGAGGAGGGGGATAAAAGGTCAAACCATGAAGATCAAGAAGAAGAAAAAGATATTATTCTTGTGAGGATTTACAAGTAACTGGAAGGATTACTCTTATGCCGGATCAATGAGAGTGTAGTTCTTCTTCAGATCGTAAAGAAATCCTTCAAGTAATAAAGGATTACTCTTGTTATTTGTTATTGATTTCTCACCATATATATAGGGGTATCCGTAAAACCCCTAAAGTTAAGGCATCTAGAGTAAAATTGTATCGCTGGGTGTCATAGCGAAATTGATTGTAAATAACAATAATCTTATTACTTCTCTTGATGTTGCATTAACATTCATCCATATAGTCAAACTGTCTCAAATTTTCTCTCATTTTGTACTCATTAAGAGCACTCTTTTATCCAGTTCTACTTGGTAAATCAATCAATATCATACAAATGAAGTAAAAATCTGATTGCATGGTTTTATCTCTTGTCAAATTCAAGGGCTCTAAGCCTCTAACATTTAATAACTAATAATCTTTCTTCAAGTTTTCTAGTGAATGTCTACGGACACTCATAAAGAGATGAGAGATGTAGAGAGAAATCAATAGCAAGTAGGTCCCTCACAATTTTCATTAATTCCTCTCCTTGCCCCCTTCCCCCCTTCCCCCCTCCCTTCAATCCCTAATGAGTGTTCATAGGCACCTGTTAGAAAAACCCATTAATTTTTCATCACCTAATCTTAATCCACTACCCTCAAAATCTTAGAAATCTCTATCCTTTATCTTTCACTTTCTTATAAATCATTTATTTTATTTTATTTCTTTCCAAAAAAAAACTTATATTTTTTATCCCCTCTTTATTCAAAAAGTTTAATAAACATACAATAATTTAATTCCGTGCATCGCCCGGGTAATAGCTAGTTATTATTTCTATATATTTACACATTCATGATAAGATTGGTAACATTGTCATTTGTTGTACTTATTCTCAAATTACCAAGTATTTTATAACATAGGGCAAATTACTAAACTCCCAATAAGTTTAGACCTTTGCCATTGAACCCCTAAACAATTTGAATCTCTCATTAAATCTCCATTAAGTTTGGAAATTCCAAAAGACTTTCAAAACACTTTAGTTTGTTTCACTCAACCCCTGTTGATGTTAGATCTTTAGCAAT